GAGAGGGAGCACGGCCGTTTCAAGGTAAGGATAGGGCGCTTGAAGCTAGGGCGAACAGGCGGCATCGTTTCACGCATGCACGGATGGCTGGTTCCAAATTTACCCACATCCCTAACGAAACCGGCCCATCTTCGTGTGTGCGTCTGCGGGATTTCTGTCCCGCGCCGCCAGTTTTACCGCGCACGCGGCGTTGTTTTGGCTGGCAGAACAGTTGTTGACCGTCGACATTGTAAGGCCGTGGTGTCCTCGTCCTTTCGGACAACGATTCCTTTGCTTTCCCTTGTGCAATACTCTGACAGACTCCTCCTGGGTGGCTGTCACTGTTCGCCGCGTCAACGACACAATCGTACCATTTCACTCCTCGTGACACAGGGTGCGCTGCTCGCTTTACTGTCACGGGCCGTCCCATCTAACACAACGAGCGCGAAAGGTCGTGGTCATCTGCTGGCTCCGAAAGGGCGGGACGTTCATGCAGGCCAATGAGGGCCCCGAATCAATAAGACGTCTGCCGACTCCTACACGTTAAAAATTTACGACATCGGCTGGTCTGTTAAGAAGTGTTGCTTTCTCTTTTTGGAACTCCTCCGATGTAGCTTGCCGCCTATAATAAAATTTAAATAATCAATAAATATATCAGGGTGAAAATACTGTATTTCATTTTTATGTGGGAACGTTGAAAAAATGAAAAAACTATTTCCAAGCTTGTGAAGACGCGCAATTCGCAAGTCCATTTCGAGCCGTAAAAACACGTTTTTGTACGATATTGATGCTTAAATGTAGAACATACAAACAAAATATACACTTTCTAGGCTTGATTTTCGTGTAGACAACTATCATATCTACATTTGAACAAAAAATGAAAAAAATAAAAAATGGGTTTTTTGAGAAAATCAATTTCAAAAATGGTACTTTTTGGTTTTTGCATAATATTAACGTAAACGTACCGCAAAAGATATTTTATACAGCCAAGGTACTTTATAATAAATATAAAGAGCGTGTTTTGGGCTCTCCGTGGACATAAAAAATATCGGTGTAAGCCAAGTAGATCGCCAGTAATTAATTGTCAAAGTTCATCAACAATTGACCGAGGAGGCGTTTTTGACATTTTTACAGAAAAAAAGCAAAAGGCCTAAAATTATTTCATGGTATTGGAGCCTTTTAAATGTGTCCACAGAGTGCTTGAAAAAAGGTAATATAATGTGTACTGAAAATCCATGGCGGGAGATCAAGCGAAACATCCGACCCACGACGGGTGTGAAAAACACTGCTTTTCGCCGCGGCCTCTTTAAAAATTCATAAGTCGAGAACAAAAAATCCGACGAACTTGCGGTTGGTGTCGACTGCGGTTTTAGAAACGGCGCCATAACATATATTTTTTTCATCGAAATTAAAAATTCGACACTTTTTGCCTGCACGATTTGAGATGAAACCACCCATATATATATATATATATATATATATATATATATATATATATATATATATATATATATATATATATATAACGGGCATGGTGGCGGGAGGCCGAAGGCGTGGGTATAAAACTGAGAAGAAAAAAACCCTTAGTGAAAAACAGCAACAACGGACGATTTAATCTTCGACGTTTCGGCCGGAGTCCGCCCTTCGTCAGGAAGACTTCCTGACGAAGGCCGGACTCCGGCCGAAACGTCGAAGATTAAATCGTCCGTTGTTGCTGTTTTTTACTAAGGGTTTTTTTCTTCTCAGTTTTATATATATATATATATATATATATATATATATCTTTTTTTTTTTTTTTCATTGTGCGATTTTGAATGTTTGTGAACTCACTTTTCGAAAGAAACTGTCAATGGTAGTTTCTGCATGTCGCCGAGAGATGTCCTATTTTCAGTTATCCAGTTGGTCGCCACTGTAGGTGCTCGATGGAAACTTCGTGGGAACTTAACGACATGAGAGCGCTGGCAAAGAAATGTAAAGTCTCTAAAACGTTCAGAGGTCGGAGCCAACTTCTTCGCGGGCATGCGCAAGCGGCTCGAGGGTCTGAATTTGTGCAGCTATTTTCAACCTGTCAGTCGCCATGCGATATGCCCGCGTGAAGGTTTTTTTTCTTATTAAAATTCCTTAAGTGCTCCTGGTACTGTCAATCGAAAGTTCATGCCCGCTAAGGCTCTCAGTTGAAATGCCGTTCCATTTCTATATGAACCGAGCGTTTTTCTTTTTTTTTTTTTTTTTTACAGCGGAGGTGACAAGTGCTATATTGGAATTCTCAGTTTGAGCAAAGGAGTGCCAAAGCAGATCAGAGCGACGCCATTATATTTTCCCCGTTCATTTTTTTATGTATGAATGGTTTGGTTTACGGGGCTTCCAATCAAGTCTGTCCCATTCGGCGACGATTAATGAGTGTCTCGGTCGCCTTCAGCGGTGGATCGAATTCAGTGGTGGACGCAGTTTACGACATTCTCCAAAATGTCCTAGGCAAAGTGGGAAAAATCAGGAAGGTTTTCTTTTCCGCTAATTATTCATTCGTTTACTTATTTAAGCCAAAGGCCTTTTAGGCCATGACATAGGGAGAAACAAAAATCAATAACCAGAAACTCGTATTGTCATTAGCATTGGACTCTGCCATGATAGATTTCTCCAGGCCACGTTACGGTATCTGACTTCCTATAGTATAAGCGGAGCGGGTCGGTCGCAACTCAACCGACCGACGCTTAGATTCAGAAAATGTTAGATATCATTATTGGTGCTCACGCGGAACTCGGAAGTGGCCTCTTCTTTGGGTCGAGGCATCGTCGCTGGGACTCCCTTTGCTATTCTATGCAGCGCTTTGAACCTCTCACGTGACTACGCACCCCACGCGTCACTGTTGATCGCTGCGTTTCTCCCTAAAGGTCACGTGACGCTCATGTGGCACAGGATTGGCTGGGATGGCTCGTAGCATCCGCTGCGATACATCGCAGGGTGAAGCTCCGAGCATAGCTGCTTCGGAGGATCGAGGAGATCGGCTTTCCGCGTGAAATGAACGACCTACGCTAAAAATCAGATAAACAAAACCGGCCCGTTCTGCTCGTCTCGCGATCCCAGAGACGTTCAGTCGCTGCGATCTGTGGCGGGTCCGCACGATCGAGTAACGAAGCTGAGAGAAAATCTCGACCCTGAACTATAATTCTCAGCGCTAAAACTCGCGAACATTTCTCTTCTTCGGTATTCTCTGGCGACAGCGCATTTTCGGACCAATCCTGTGTCCAGGATTGACCCGGGGATCAGAGAGAGTGACTCGAAAGATCTCCGTGGCACGAAGGGCTCCGATATACTTTTTTAGAGTATGTAGCTGGTCGATACTCTAAGCCCTCACACTCACGAGATTATTCTTCTTTTTTTTTTTTTTTAAGGCGCGTAGGACAGGGGGAGTGGGAAGGCACTAATTCGTAAATAAGTACATCTGTGAAAAATAAATAACAGAAAAAAATTGCAATTAACCGCACGAAGTACTTTGTGCGGTACAATAGCATTTTTGATTTCTCTGTAGTGCGGCGATTGACAGCATAAGTTGTTGCGTTGTTGAAATCTGTGCTTTAGGAGCCTTGTATTTGGTAGAATAGATACGTGCGAGATATGTGCCACATCAATGGCGCGGTTGTCTGAGAGTCGCCGGCTGTGAGAAGAGAGTGTTACGGCGGCGGCGATATCATTCTCTTCCCACGGTCACGTTGATTTTTAACGCAAACGCCGCCGCATTTCACTGGAAAGGAGCACTAATAACTACTGCTTTAAAAATCCAGGACCACAACCAGCGCGAAAAAATCACGTACCCCCCAGCCCGCTCTTCCGTGCGCCCGCGGAGCTCGATTTCCCAAAATCCGCAGTCGCGGAAGCGATGCCCACCAGCGCGCGGCCCTCAAAGCCGGCGGCTAGAGCGCGCTGAGGGCGTTCAAAGCTCGCGGCGTCCACCGCACAGTGCGAGCACGGCAAGAACGGGCGCAGCGAGCAAAGGAAGTAGCGAGCGGTCCGGCGAAAAAAAAGCACCAAACGAGCGAGCGCCGCACAAGGTGCAGGCGAGGTGTGGGGAAGAGAGTTCCTCGCCACAGCTGCGAAGAACGACGGCGAAGGGCAGAACATTCTTTTCCTGCGATCACGTGGGTTTCTTGCGTTTGAACATCGTCATTTTCGGCGGAAAGGACACTAATACCCCATTCACACGATCATAAAGGTACCTTTAGCTAAGGGACCTTTATGGCCAGCGGCGAATCAGTTCGTGATCATCCGCGCGTGGCATGTGCTCGCGATCCATCAGCGCGGGTTGATTCGCCGATTGGAAAGGGACCTATGTTAAAGGTACCTTTATGCTGGTCGTGTGAATAGGGTATAACAGCCACCACTGTAAAGTTCAGGTTAACGGGTTGATTAACGCTTTCCTGAAAAGAAGGTCACATCCAGCGATGGAAGCAAGTCCGCTGCCTTGCTCGATGTTTAGACCGTCATCCATAATGCATAATAGAAAAGCTGAGTCAACTTCGTCGATCAGGTTAATAAGAAAAGAGTGCTTCGCGTTGGCACAGGGGAACGTGCTCACGATGAGCTTCAGTTTGCATTTTAGGGACCTGAGCGACACCAATCACGTTCGGGAAAATATAACATATGGTTATATGCCGCAGTTGTAAATTCCTAGGAAATATTATTAAGCTTTCGCAGGTTCATTTTTCTGCTGGATCGTGAATCTTGTTTTGTATTTATATATAAAACTCAATTTAACGAGTGTTAGCCACTAAAACGAAAAGCTGCACTGCTCCTGCTGCTTCCCAGGCCGACAGGGTTGTTAGTGTGAAGTTAAGCACCAACAGCGCCGAAGAAAAACGAGCAAATACGCTTGACACGAAATAACGAGCGCCAGGCAGCAAATAAAGCTGCATAAAGGGGCAAAAAAAAGTTGGTGTAGACGCTAACGATGTCTGCATCCACTGGCATTACAAGTCGTTTATCATCCTTTTATTTTTCTCCCTCTTTCTTTCTGTCTATTGCAGCATGCTGATCCTGCTGGGAACCCTCGTGGGCGGCATCTCGCAGTAAGTTGTCTCCATCAGTAAACAGTAATCGTGTTGTGTGTTTGTTTAGACGGTTAGTCAGCCCCAGCGGGCGTCTGGTGTCTGCGCTGTAGATGAGACATTAAGCCATTACAGTACGACTGCTAGCCTGGGGTGTTTAACGTGCATCACGCCGTAGTGATACACGACCTCACACCGTTAAGACGCTGATCCAGATCGAAGCGATCTGGTGGTGGTGATTGAGCCCTCGCTCCACGCCATCGAAGCTGCAGCGCGTTCAAACGCTCGACCACCGATCACCCCGTAATTTTTGTTGGGTGTATACGTTTATACGGCGGGAAGTCAGCCAACTCCAGCGGGTGTCGGGTATCTCCGCTACTGACGAGAAATTCAGCCCGGGGATCTAATATGGACACTGGGCGAAAAAGTCAATGAGAAATTCGGCGGCCGTGATTGGCCGACGCCGCTCTTGACATTGGCGCCGGCCAATCACGGCAGTAGAATTTTTTTTTGCCAACTTTTCCCCTAAAGTGTTCATATTAGAGCCCCAGTGCAGTACCACCTCTAGCCTGCAGGGGTGTCTTTAACCCGTATTATACGGTAGTGGCACACGACCGCATGTTGGTATACGATACTGGTTCAGATCGAAACGGGCAGGGGTGGGTATTGAACTCGGGAACTCATAAGTTCTGTAGCGGTTCCCATCATGCATGGAATCTCCCAGGTGCAAGATGGCCCAGAAACAAACACGTGGGCCAATCGATTTGCGATGGCATCGACCGCACGTTTCGATCGAACGGCAAATCGATTAGAAGACGCGCTCATCTCATAGCGAGGCTATATGCACGTATCGCTGTAAATGCACGCGCGTGCACCGCTTCAAATGGGTTCTTGAGTGCACGCGCATCTGCTACCTTCTGCTCGTTTGGCGGTTTGCGATGAACCTTTTGAAAAAAAACGTTTAGTAAGGTGTTATTCGGGGCTGCTTCGGACAAAAAGGGTTGCGTTGTCTGTGCGCAGAGGCGTTTCTGAGAACTGTCCATGCGAATCAGTTTGTCCCCGTTGGTAATGGTCCCATCGGTACACACGCCAAGAAATCTGCAACGTCTACACGCTCACAAAAGAACTTGGGGGAGTCAGTCGTATAGCAAGAGCAATACGTGGATGGAGTTCGGCGAATCACCAAACTACGATTACGTTTAGACCTATATAAGAACAGTTCGCGCTGTGGCGCTCGGCGTGACGTTTCACGGCGATCAATGCCGCAGCGCAGACTGATTTTAGATCTAAACATATAATTCATCATCATCGTTCGTCGTGTTTCCTCCATAGATTGCCGCGATTGACTATTTTTTATGCTTTGCCAGAAAGTGTACGCTCAGATTTATTGGAGTATATAGATGCGTGCGAATAGCGGTCACGATAAAATAGCGCTCCGTCGTTCATAGTCGTCGAGTGCGAAAAAAAATATTTCGAACCGGAGACGACGGACGAAAAAGTGACTACACGCGCAACAGGTCTGAAATTATGTGTGACTTAAACCAGCTCACCTCCTTACTTACTTTGCTTGCTGAGCAAAGACGGGCGAACCTGACCTCATCGTGTGCGACTGCCTCGTAGAATCTACTAACGAATTCAGAATAGTGGCAATTCAAATGTACACAGCATTTAAAAATGTATTTTTATTACACGAAAGAAGAATGGAACGCCAAAATTAAAGACCCTCCCAATCAGCGTCACCCTCACTATTAGCACGAGACTACCAATGTTTCGCTACTGAAAGTGGTCTAACTGAAAAGTCGAAAGCGAGTTACAGAAGTTTTCAATACGGAAATGAAGACGAATAGCTCGTGCTGGTAAAAATGTGCGGCACTTTCTCGCTAAATATTTTTGAAACGCAATGATATTTGTGGATGCTATCCCAACCGCCAATGTGCTATTCGGTTGAAGCCTGAGCTTGTTGCGACCCGTTCGTTTATTTGTGCCGAGTAAAACAAAAATCACAGTTTGGCTTCGCTTAAACGCCCTGTGCTATTCGCCCGTCTTTCCGCCAATCAGTTTTGTGCGGAGACCGTTTCCTACGGGCCTCTATATTAGGGAAGTGAAGCTCCGCTTCTCTTTCGGTATTATTGTGGGTGTAACGTGTCGCGGCACTAGGCCCGTCACAATACATTCGGGGTGCTTAATTTCAATTATGATCCGGTTCGCAGAAACTAGGACTGGGTTTCGATTAAGAATCTTAGAAATAACGGAATAGGTACAAGCCAGCTGGTGAACTTTCGACATTTTGAATACCCGAGACTACGAGACTAGGAAAAAAAAGCTATCGACACACACGGACGGGTGTGCGTGCGTGCGTGCGTGCGTGCGTGTGCGTGCGTGCGTGCGTGTGTGTGTGTGTGTGTGTGTGTGTGTGTGTGTGTGTGTGTGTGTGTGTGTGTGTGTGTGTGTGTGTTTTTAATTGTTCACTTCTTTTTTGTTCCCATCATCTTGGGTGTTCAAATGTTAAACATTTTAGCGCAATTGATCGCTACCCTTTAGTCGATTAATAAATCAATTATTTCGTTTTGTTCACATTTAGGTATAGAACCTGAAAAATGTCAACTTTATACGCTTTTCGTTTACTATTTCTTGCTATGCCACCGTGCAATTTGCCGCCTCTTTTCAAACTTGACGCCATACCGCCTACACACACACAAAAACAAACACGAGAAAACCATTTTAAAAATGAGATATTTATGATTAGGGAATGCTGAAGTGTTGTACCGTGTAATACAACAAGTGCTGCCTCCTAAAATGCATGAATGCACACAAGTAGTAAAACGAGCACTCCTAATCTCTCCCTCAACCGATTAACGGGTGATGTATTGCGATTAAAGCATTAACAGAATAATCGGAAGGTGTGGTTTATCAGTATCACATCGCTGCAGAATAACTGTGTGTACTATCGCGTTCAGTATGAGTTGAAACTGTCCTTCAGTGATTATTTAGCGTGTAATTGCCAGGTTTTTAGAGAGCGGTGTTTTGAACTTGGAATATAATGCAAATTTAACTTAGATCACACAGCTTGATGGGACCGCAGACGCTAAAAAAACAACAGACGGTGTGTTTCGGCTCAGTTTGTACGCGGGGGTACTTGCATGGTTCATGCTTGCTTATCACACCTAACAATCCTGTGATCATAATGATCTATTTTTAATGCTAAATAATTAACTATTCCATGGAGCGAAAGTGGCAACGTCTGTAACCGAAAAAAAAAAAAGAAAACTTTCAGTCTTTTCAGTCTGGTGAAGAAGGAAGAGCAGCGGAGCTGTACTATGTGCCGCCATCTATGAGCGACGGCGACAAGCTGACAACCGGCAAGTCGATTGTCTGGTTGCCGCCGTCGCTCATAGATGGCAGTAGCTGTCCAGAGGGTTGTGTCGAGATTTATTTGTCCACGGACACGGAACTGGGGAAACTATATTCCGTTTCACCTGATGTTGTACCGAAGCGAAGGCTAGAAGCGTGAGCTCACAGCGTTGGCAGCTGCCCTTAATGCACGAGAGCCTGTGCCGCCGAGATGTGCCCCAGAGCAAGGAGCTCGCGCTTGTAGCCTTTCCTGCGGTACATCATAAGGTGAAAAAGAGTATAGCCCTTAACAGCTCCGCCTAAAAAAAAAACAAAAAAAAAAAAAACGGAATAAAGGCCCATTTTTTTATTGGCTGAACAAAACGGCTCCTATAGATGGCTATAGGAAGTATTCACTGGCGGCCATAGCTGTGTGCGCGACTGCTGAGCGCGTGCTGATGGCGAGCTTCCACAGTTCTTTTGTAACGTGCATTCCGCACCCTCAAGATTGCCGGTCTTAGCAGCCTATTAATGTGGGCTCGTTCTGAGCATGCGCTCTCGACATCACCCACAAATATGGCACCCAGTGAATACTCCTTATTGGCGGCTGCTTCACGAGAGCGCGCACTCGGCCGCCGCTCTTGTGGCAGGCGTTGCAGGAAGGGGGGCTGCGGGTGGTTCACGAGGGCACGCGCTCGGCAACCTCGGCAGTAGCGCAACGTGGCCGTCCACGCCAGTACACCGCAGACGAAAAGTGAGCGGAAGAACGACATTCATGCTTTCCCATTCACAACTTACAAGAAATGCTCAGCTGTCCCCGAATTTTTTTTTTCTTATTGTTTCCGTTTAAAGGGGAGCTGTATTTGAAAGGACATTAACCTTAAAGCAATGTGTAGCTTCCGCTTTAATACTGACATCAGGTATTAAACAAAATCTTGACAAAGAAACCTCCACAGGTTGCTGAAAAATAATGAATAAATATAACGGGCGACATTAAATGAAGGCAAAAGATGTGCTCGGTCATTTATGCTTCCTACGTCACAACGTCCTAAAAATAATAAAACAGAATTATCGGTTTTTTCCACTACTTTCTCTCCTCGACGGCAGGAATCGTTTCTTGGGCGTAGGGTAACGGCGTAGTTTCCGACACCGTGTGCGGCAGCCCCACAAAATTCATCTTAAATTCGCGTTTTGCTTTCTCACTTCTTCAAACGAAATTTCATAAAAACGCTTTACCGATCTCTTTCCCTCTCTCTTTCTACGAATATTACGCTAACATATGTTGCCATGTCAGAACAAAAAGAACATTTAAGGGGCGATGCAACAATTTTCGTACCGCAAATACCGCTTAAAACGGATCCCTGACGTTAATGACCTATGAAACACACGTTCGTTTTTCACCCCACGCCAATAGAAGTTCCAGAAAAAATTAAAGAAAAACGAGCAGCGTTCGTCCCCTCAACTCGCAGCCAGAACAAGCGGCCACGTCATCTGGAGCCGATTATATGCCGCCAATATTGATCATAGCCACGCGCTGGGGTTGGCAAAGCACAGGACACGCACTGAGTTCCGGACATTGTTATGGCTCGGCTGCTGTCGTCGTTGCAGCGATTGGACACGGGCCACTACCCGAATGCATGTCGAGGCATCGATTGTCACGAGCCCATATCGAATCCGTACGCAGTCTTCGCGTCCACTGTGTGAGCTGCATTTGAATATCGTCACCCCAAAGCTCGAGGACGCATTCCCGGGGATCGTACTGTTGCCATTGTCCCCACAGCTCCGTCATCAAATTTCGCGAAGGAGCAAAAGGCGGCTTTGGAAGGAGAGACTGAAAGAAAAGCTCCGCTTTCATCCTTTGAATTCCGCCGCGACGAAGACGCTTCTTGGTCAGTGGTGTTGCGTTCGAGTATTCTTGGGTCCCACTAGTGCCAGGAAGCTGGTGTAAAGTAAGAAATATTCCTACCCAATGTCGTTCCACAGCCCCTTTAAGCGAGATCAAAATCAAGATTACAAATTTCCCTCGAGCTTTTTTTCTTTTTTTGTCGGAAGTTTTACAACATACACTAAAAATTCCCAAACACACGCGAAATATGTCGTCAGTATGCATTTTCAACGCGCTTTTTTTTTTTTTTAATATACGTTTACGAAGCTGCCGAAGTGCAAATAGTTTTCATTTAGATATTTATTTTAAATACTCAGTATCAATAATGTAAACAAGCGGTTCTTTATCCAATATTATGGCATCACTATAACTGTTTATGATAAAGTCTGATAGGGAGAGGGTAGAGGACTTTGTGAAAGGAGCTGGTCCTAGTTTCTTAACCCGGAACCGACTATAGTTTACGATTGCGTAAACAATCCTCATGGTGGTGTTTGTCCTTTTCTCTTCTTTTATAAATATTTTCACGGCTACGAGACGTTCTTTGACAGGATTGCAAAATCAAGTTAAGCACCGAATCATACATACGAGTATTTTTTATATGACTCTCAAACAAGGTCGCTCATTGAACACATTGCCGAGTCACAACAATCTCATCGATTTGTTGCGAGTCCTGGGTTGATGCATTAGAGTTTCAGCTATTACACGCGCACGCTTTTATCACATCGAATTACTGGTGCCCGCCAGCTTCCACTTAGACAAGTGGCAACGCCATGTTATTTCACCTCAAACGTTAGCCGCGTTTGGTGCGACCCAGGAGCCACTCACTTGATCGAATGACGTTTTAGCGAACGCCCACGTTTCATCGAATGACACTTTAGCGAACAGTTGGACGCCGCGAAGCGGCGTTTTCGGGTGGGCCAAGTGGGTTCAGATTTTTGTAATGAGCCGCCGCAGACTGTCGCCGCGAAACGGCGAAAGCGCAGCGCGGCGGATGGGTTAACGCGCGCCCCCGTTATTCACTAAAACGTAGATTCGCTCAAATGCTGTTCGCTAAAACGTCATTCGCTCATGTGATATGGACCCGTGCGACCCAGTCGTTTCTCTTATAAAGAGTGCAGCGTCGTCTTGTGGATGTCATACACGATAGACGGATTGGGAGGCGTGTTTATTTTGACCTCGAAACGCTTCTTTACTTGTTTGACCTGCTACCTTAGTGCGATAGGAGGCAGATGAGAGGCGCGTGTTTCTTGTATGAAGTAGTAAATATCCTCATAGACGGATCTCACCAGCCAGTTTGACTACAGTCTGGTTCAGACAGTTGTGTTTGACTGCGTTTGACTGGGTTTGACTGCGTTGCGGCTGGGAAAAACCAGGACATTCCTGTTGCTTATATCGCGTGCCAAGATGATTCCTTGAATTGGATTCCGCGCTTCATACGAAGCACAGATGTGCCGGTGACTCGCTTTCGGTTCTCGACGCAACGCAGTCAAACGCACTCAAACGAAAGTGTCTGAACCGGCACGGCCTCCGCAATGCCTGGATGGTGAACTTTAGGCTCTCTGCACTTGCGACAGTCTCGCAGAAGCTCTGCGCGTGTAGAGCACGAGACGGCACAGTCCCTCGCAAGCACGGCAGCCTGCCTCCTTTGAACTAAAGTTATGGCGGCGTCACGCACGCGCCGAACGCTTAGTGAGACTGGTCTATTGATGCACCGTCGCTTCTTAGTGGCAGTTTATTTTCTGTTCCAAGCAATCACGTCAGAGCTTTCTCTTTGCTTTGCTCAATGAATGCAAATTTTGGATCACCTACGACACACATGCAATTTTCCTTTAACCGCGAAAAAAACCGACCTAAATTCGTTGCTTCCTTAGTTTCCACTTTTTCCTTGTTGGTGTCTTTGTTTTGTTCTTCCTGTCGCTTTGTTTGTAAAGTGCACACTAATAAGGCGAAAGCTGTTTGTGGCGCACTCTGAGCGGAACAAATAAATATGTCAGCTTAATTCCTAATGCCGCGTTCACTGTTTCCTTTTTGGATTAGAACCTAATCCTTCGTACAAATACCGTCGACAAAATATAGAATTCGTGTCCCAAAATAATTCTAAGCTGACACAGAAACAACACTATACAAAACTGGCACAAGCACAAAAGAAGCATACAAAAAGCAGCGACACCCGAAGTACTCTCCCTTAATGACAAATCTTGCTGCAGTCGCATCTCAAATCAGAAATAAAAAAAACAGATCCTAATTGCGCCTTCTTTTTGTGTGTGTGTGTTACAGCTTCACGGACTCGGACTACGTGCCCACCTTCTCGCCGGACACTTTTTTTCTCTTTCTGCTTCCACCGTGAGTACGAGGATTTTGTTACACCTCGAGCTTCCCTTTAAGCTTAGACTGTCGCGTTTCAGTGTGACTGAGTGCTCTGCGCTTGCTTGTAACCGTCTACGACGAGAGGCTAGTGCTGCCAGCTATCGGGTAGCCCTGGAAACCTCTTGATCTGCGTCTATACTAGACTCAAGTTTTTGCGGCATTTTGGGGGGTCATATATGCGCACTTGTGGTCGCGAATAACAGCGGCAGAATTATTTGGAGCCCACGGCAAAAGGATGATCCGTAATATAGAAAATGTATACGAGCATGTCGCGAGTGTTCCAGGACTGCTCGACGGATGGCGCTGTTGTGCCTGCGTGGTGTTCTTTCTTCGTAAGTGGTTACATGCGAGCACAGTGTACTTGGGCGCAATCCGACCCAACTGTATGAACCAGTTTTTATATAGCTCTAATTAGTACTAAGTTGTACCAGCAGTGCCGATGCCAGTTTCTGTCACGTTGCAGTCCGGCCGTTTTTGAATTAGCGGCTTTTAATGTGTTTAACTGCGCGTTTGCACGCTTGTATATGAGTGAGATTACTATAAAAAAAAAAAAAAGATGGGGAGGTAACGAGTGTGTTTGTTGTCATGTTTTGCGTCGGTGTTCGTCAACATTACGTAATAAAAAAAACGTAAAAATACCGAACTTGTTGCGCACTTCCGGTGGGTGTTCATTATGACTCGTTCGGTCCACACAACCGGAACGATTAAAGTTTTCAAATTTAAAAAGTGAGTTTTGAGATACGGTGCGTACTCCATTTTACGTTAAATCAAACCGCAGGCAACGCTATACGATCCAATAAAAAGCTAATGGGGCAACGCCAGAAGTGTTTGTCGTCACGGTGCTCGGATCGTCTTTATGCGTTTGGCATTAGAGAGTTTTAGGGAACCGTTTTTGCACATCCGGTATACGGTGCGATGGGCCCTCCGGTACGAACTGCGCATGTGCGAGCCTTATGCGGTCGCACATGCGCAGTTCGTACCGCAGGAGGGCCCATCGAATACCTCATCGGATGTACAAAAACGGTTGTCTAAAACTCTCTTTTACGTAACGGTTGTCTAAAACTCTCTATACCCCACAATATCACGGCGCAATCAATCTGCTTGATTGGCTCTATTGGATGAAGTATATCGACGGCCGCGCTGTCATCGCTTTACAGTTCGCTGCGGCGGGCCCCCGAGGTTTCGTACTCGAGCAGAAACGTCGTACGTCCGCTTCTGAGGCCAGATTCATAAAAAACCTCTTACCTACGACATCTTAGCTACGATGTTCGTAAAGTTACGATCATCGTAAGATGAGGCAAAAACGGTATTCACAAACGCGTTCTTAAGTGAGAGGAGGAAAGTTACGACCTCTTACGAAGAAACGACGACTTCCGGTGCTGTTGCTATGGCAACGGCGTCTTCGTCAAAACGAACAACCAATTAGAGAGCTAGGCATAGTTCGGAGCACGTGGATTTTTAATAACAAACAGGCTAACCACTCGTTGATAGACGAGTGTATGTCCTGTCCTGTCTGTATGTAAATGTTTAGTGTTCCAAGCTGATTCTCATAAACACGGGCGGCCTTTCCATCACCGCTTGTCTGGGGTTCGTGTCCGTGCAGTGGTATATCGACGCTAACACGATTTAAACGCTTCGTTGACTGCTACAAACTCTATCGCTACGAAGTCAACGCAACTGTCATCGTTGGTAAAAGCTCCGTGCCAGTCGTTTGCAAAGCGACGTAGATGGAAACGAACCGCCGCGGCGCTTCTCGCGGCCTCGGAAATGCAGGAGTGAGCCGACGTTAAAAAAGATACGTTTGAACTACGAGAGTGTCAGCAAGAGTCACGCAAATATCTGTTCACACTCGGAGCGGACGCGTGCGTTTGATCTAAGTGCTGGATTCAGACTGCGTTTCGGTAAGCGCTTCGGGACCGATCTTCTACGATTGCAACTCGATACTGACGTGACACTTGGCAAAGAAAGTTTGGACCGGCATCGCGTAGCTCCCACAAACTGATATAGCTCGACAGTTAAAAATGGCATACTAATAACAAAGTGTACATACCGTGTTGCGAAGGTAATCCATACGGCGTTTATTTGAGCTCTATATCACACAAAACAAGGAGATAGAATCGAGGAGTCCCTTTTCGACGACAGCGTTCGTCACCGCTGCCTCGGAAAACAAGGTGATCGAGATCCTCTGAAATTTAGTTCAGCTATCAAACTATTCATACGGGGAGGGTCCACAAGGGTCGCGTGGGCATATTCCATTCAGCAAGCCAGCCGGTCGTGGGCAGACGGTCTTGGCCAAGGACCGTCTGAGCAATGCTGCGCCGGAACGGGTTGGAGTGCCTGCTAGGCCTATATAGTCTGCCGAGCTCGCTTGGTCGGTGGGATTGTTGCCTTTGTTGCCTTTTCCGGGTGTCTGTGGATCCAGCGTTCATGTTTGTCGTGGTCGGTTTCAAGTACTTCTTCAGTTTTTTTCTTGCTGTTTGAAGTCGGGACACGCAAGAAGAGCAGGTAGAAAAATAAATGTCCGTTGGTCGTCGGCGACCGAGCAACTGAGCGACGTTGTCGGCCATGTTAATTTCATCGTAGAAAGTGCGTAAGACAGCTTCGGAGCTGTCGTAGGATTCTGTCGTAACTTGCGCAGAAGTTACGACAATTTCGTTTCGAGAATACGGATTTTCTCTCAAATTTGTCGTACGCATTTTTTTCGTCGCAAGTTCGCTTTGAGAATCCGGCCTCTGTTCCTTCGTCCTTCACACTTAGACTTGCGACGTGAAACCTGTCTGTGTGAACGATAGGGTTCATACAATAAATCTAGAGGTAAAGGACCACCATCTTCCCGCGCATTTAGCCTCTTCAGAAGAAGCCTTGGAGAGCCATGGACGCGGACATCGGGGGTCCTGATGGGCCCATATGGCTCACGACACTTTAATATATGCGCACGGAAGCAGCAAAACATTGCTCGCATGGCCTGTACCTGTATGCTAGCTTTTCTTTCTTTTTTTCTTCTTTTTTTTGTTTGCAAGAAAACACCGGCATTGTACAAAAAAGAAAAGAAAAAAGAAAGCTGACATGCAATCGAACAACTTGTCGCGGTGAATACACGCCCAATCTATCGTCTGCTTTCAAATTTCCCCGCTTCTCTGTCGCTCTCTTTCTCGTTCTTTCTCTCGGAACTACCGGTGTCAACGCTTGCCATTTTCTGCGTTCTGTCCTGTCTTTACCAACACCCCCCCCCCCCCCCTTTCCATTTTCGCTCGTCATATTATTGTAAAATGTTAATGAATACAACAAAGTTTTACGCAGAGCATGAAAGCGTGACAAACGTTCAAGATTGCTTTGTGGTAAGAAAAGTTATAATTGATTTGTAATTAACATTCAAATCAGAATAAATGTTTACCTATAAGCAAAGCTGCTTTGTGATAACACAATTTATCACAATTGATTTGTGATAACGAAGGTTATCCCACTTGCTTCGTGATAAACGTTCGTATCGCGATAAATTTTTACCCGGAAGCAAAACTGCTGTCTGATCAACGCTGAATTTTTTTTTTTTTTGATGACTAAGTTTTTTACATTTGCTTTGTGAGAAACGTTTACGTCGAGAGTAATTTTTAGACCGAAGCAAAAATCGTTTTTGTGATAAAAGCTTAAAACTGCTTTGTAATAACGAAGGTTACCCGACTACATCTCCGCTCAACGTGCATATCTGTATAAATATTTACCGGCGAGTAAAATTGCTTCCTGAGAAACCGATTCCGAGTCAAGCGGTCCAACGAGTCAAAAGATCCAACGAGTCAAAAGATCCATTATTGGACCTTGTGACTCGTTGGACCGTTTGACTCGTTGGACCTCTTGACTCGCCGTGGATCTTTCGACTCGTTGGACCTCTTGACTCGTTGGACCTCCTGACCTACATTGGATCTTTTGACTCGTGTCTGACGAGTCAAAAGATCCGACGAGTTAAAAGATCCATTATTAGACCTTTTGACTCGTTGGACCTCTTGACTCTTTGCCCGATCACCAGAAAAGGGAAGGAAGGGTTTTAAAGAAAAGCAGGAAAGAAAGAGAAGCAAAACTACGATGAATGACAGCTTTCTGGTGGCAAGGAGGGGTGTGACGGTCACTGCACTGCAGCGGGGTGGGATCCCGCGTCTAATAACAAAGCAACAAAAAAGGGGGAGGTGGCAGAAGATGATGCAGTGGCCTCGGGGATGGGAGGTTTTGGGATCCTGAATGGCTGGCTGTGTCGCGGCGTTGGTGCGTTTTCCATTTCAATTGGCTAGTAACCAACGCTATTTCTTCGTCGGAAATGCTTGATTATCGGAGAAATTTCTAGAGAGTTGCGCCTGCTGTACGGTCGCGGGGACGCAGGTTGTTTCTTTAATTTAGAAACCAACAAACAGTTAGTCGGTGACTTAATTACGAGGCGCGTATAACGCAGCATGAGCTGAACAAGCAAAACAGTTTTGGCATTGGATTTGGACAGCATAATGTTTGACAATCATCCAGAGGGTCAACATGCCTTTCCGCAGTATATTGCCATTATGGCCAGTGCAGCATGACTGCTAACTGGCACCACGCTGTACGGAGAGCCATCATCGGCGGGCGTTCGTGTAACCACTACTGCGTGGTACACATAAAGACCTAAGGCTATACTCCGTTTCACCTAACGATTGACCGCAGCCTACGCTAGAAGTCGAGAGCGTCATGGGACATCTCGCATTGCGCGACGCCGCGCCGGACCGGAAGGTCACGTGACACTGTCGGCGCAGGATCGGATGCGCTGGTTCGTTCAATCACATGCATGAGTCCGACCGTGTGCGCCTGCAACGGCTTGCGTCGTTAATCTCTTTTACGGGTTACTATGGCATCGAAATTTCAAGCCGCTTACGGCCGCCACTGCTGCTGCGCGGCGTGGTCGTAACAGGGGCTTAAATACTTCTTCCGTCAGACTTGGTCGTAGTCGGTCGCAAAACAGT